TCTCTTGCCTCAGCCGCCTCAGTAGCTGGGATTATAGGCGCCCGCCACAATGCCCAGCTATTTTTTTGTTGCAGTTGTTGTTTAGTTGGCCTGGGCTGAGTTTGAACTCACCACCCTCAGCGCCTGTGGCTAGCGCCGTAGCCACTGTGGTGCAGGCGCTGAGCCTAAGTAGGCTCTTTAAGCAAGTATTAGAAACCATTCGCTTATATATGCTCTAGCATATCCTCTACAGTTATTGATAAATACTGGTTGAATGAATTAAAAGAATAGTGTGGCCAGCAAAAGTATGCGTGGTTCTTAAAGTTCATTAAAAAATACATCTTATTTATTTCACCAGACAGGAAAAGCCAATCTTACTAGTCATGTTATGCTAAAAAAAAAATCCATCTTGTCCAAACAGACTCTAATATTTATCCCAAATTCTTATCCTCATTCCTTCCCTCCTCGCCTGAGGTCTGTAAGCCATGCTGCAGAATCACAGGCTTCTCCTTAAGATAGCAGGGAAACCACTGTGGCAGTATGCTCGCTCGTCCTTGGGAATTAGCACTCTAAAAATAGAAGTAGAATGATGGACATTTTGTAAATTACAGAATATATTACATTTTCATAAAATTACATACCGTATAAATTGCACACGAACTTTATGTCCACCCTATATATTTATGCCTGAGTTTCCACATCTGTGGGTGTGCAACTGATAGTAAATGGTCCAAGAGTACGCAAATTAAAAAGATACTAGGTAATTAATAAACAGGAACATCAATCATCACCCAGTCCCAGTGCCAGACACTGGGGACATAAAAATGACTAAGGCTCTTTTTTTCTAGAGTGAGAGACAAAGAGTTAAGCAACCAAAAGTAGTAGGAACAGCGGCTTTCAAATATTTTTGACCCAAAGCCGCAGGAATAAATATGTTTTATATCATTACTCAAAATATGTCTATACATATGTACACAACTGAAGCACATGTTTCAAGAAACAGTATTTATTTTTCTAAGTACAATACACTCTGTATTTCTTACTATCTTCTAGTTCATTTTTATTAATAAATACCTTTCTTCATGGTGTGTGACATGCCTCTTGGGGACGGAACACAATTATAAGAGGGACTTTAACAAATGGAAGCAGTATAACCTGGTTCTTTGCACCCTCAATGAATCCCCAACAATAATAAATAAATATCTTTCTTGACCCTCTAAATGAGACAGGACCTGCTGTTTGGGAAGCATTGTTTTATAGTAGAAATAAAAGGGGGCCAAAAACTGTATACACATTTTAAGAAAGGAAAAAACTGGATTAAAATCGTAATACTCAGTGTATAACCATAGCAAGAGATGTATACAGGTTGCGTGTGACTTCTGCAACTACAAGGGGTGCTCAAAGTGGTTACCAGACCCTTCTGATGGTGGTGAACTACTGCTTGGGCACAAGTAATACATCTCTTGAAATGCATATACATTTTTTGGCACCTCTGATATTTACAAGGTGACAGGAGAATAATAGAAAATGTATTTCAGAGGAACTAGCACTTAAACTAAGGTCTTAAAGGAAGAGCAGGAGTTATTCAGATTGAAAAGAAGATGAGCAAAACATTCTAAGTAGAAGAAACAGCATGTTTTAAAAGCACAAGGAGGCAAGAATAAACTTTGAATTCAGTGAACACTGAGAAATTATGTCCCCCTGAAGTATAAGTGATGTTGTTAAAGTGTTAGTCTGGAAAGTTTTGCAAGGACTGGATTTTAGAAGTCTTTGCCCACCATCCTGGTAGAGTTTCCATAAGGAGACAACAGTAGCTTTTCCATCGGGGTCTCATACAGTTTTGTCTACAATGGAAAGAGAACCTTGAAAGCAATGTGAAAAATGAAACAGTAGGAAAGAGTCCAAAATCTTCATCTCCAGCCCAGCCTTCCATTTTGAACTCTGGATTTATAATCCTTACTTGGATGCCCTGTAAGTGTCTCATTCTCAAAATGTTCAAAACTGAACTCATCGTCATCTTTCCCTCAAAATCTGCCATTCCACTCTTTATCTAAACAAATGCCATTCAGAGACTCCAGACACCTGCACAGTCCTTCCCCACTCCCACGTGTCATCAATTACAAAATCTGCCTTGTTAACAACATTTCTTCGCTTACTTTAAAATCTTCATTTTCTTCCCATTGACCTCATGATGTAGTCCAAACCTATGAAACTGTTGAAGTCTTTTTGCAGCCCGACCTGCCCCATCTCATCACACGTTCGCCTTCTTGCATTCTGTGTTTTAGCCATCTTGAAGTTCTTTCAGTTCCTTAAACACATCCTGACTCCCTCCAGGCCTTCACACATCCTCTCACCCTCCTCTTTCACATGGATAATTCTTATTTTTCCTCGAAGGTTGCACTTACATGCCACTTCCTCCAAAGAATCCATATCTCTGGTCCCCACCAAATGACTTTTCTGCTCCTGATATGTGTTTTTAGTGATATCTTCTTCTATCAAGCAAGGCATTTGTTCTACTATGTTGTAAACTATTTTTATCACCAGGCTATAAGTTCTGAAGGATAGAAATCATTTTCATTTTGCTCATCCTTTGGTCACCTGCACCAAGCTCAGCGCGTGATGTGTAGTAGTTGTTTAGCATATGTTTGCTGAAGGACAGACATCCGAGGAGACACTGAAGGTTTTGAAATAGGCATTTCAGAGAGCTAGATCAGTATTTTAATGAGAATTGTGGAGCAATGTGGAAAATAAGGTGAAGTACAAAATCTATGAAGAAAAGCAGGAAGAAGGAAAGGATAAGGAACAGGAGGGAAAATAAAGGAAGGTGGAAAGAAAGATTGAGAACAAGTGGGTCTAATAGTGTTGCAATTTGAGTCCCCAAAGGAGAGGATGAAGAGATTGAGACAGAAGCAATAGTTAAAGAAAAAACAATAAAAATTCTCAAAAGCTTGGTGAAAGATAAGCCACAGAATGAAGAATAACAATAAATCTCAAGCAGCATACAAAGCAAGCCACACCAATGTAAATCATAATAAAACATCAGAAAACGAAATAACGGAAGTGAGACTATCATGGAATGGCATCCTCAGTATGCTAAAAGCATTCTACTAACCCAGAATTCTATACCTAGCAAAAATATACTCCAAAAAATAAAAGTGAAATGGTAACATTTTCTGGCAAACAAAAATGGAAAAAAAAGACCCATCAGCATCAAACCCACGCTAAGGAAATGCTAACAGAAATACTTCAAGTAAGAAGAAAATTGTCCTAGATGGATACACAGAGATGAGGGGAGAAGTTAAAAAAATGGAAAAATCAAAATATGGGTAAATATAAACAAATATTTGCTATGCAAAACACTACTAATATTGTCTCATAGGATTTTAAATTTATAGAGAATTTAGATACATTACAACTGCATTAGTTTTCTAGGGAGGGCTACCCTAAGAGAGTATCACAAACTTGATGTCTTAAAATAATGGAAATTTATTCTCTCACTGTACTGGAGACAAGTCTGAAATCATGGTTGGTAGGGCCGTGCGTGCTTC